ATACTGATGCGATGGACGTCGACGAAGAGAATGACGAGAATGACGAGAATGACGAGAATGACAATGGCGTTAGTATGGCGTCAATGGAAGGCGATCCTGAATCTCCTTCTAGTAAAGCGGCGTTGAAAAGAAAAAGTATGGCTCATCCCCGCAAGAGTCACGGCTCAATCACACCCAAGCCGGCCCAGGGCTCACTTCCAACTCCAGAGCCATCCCAATCGCCAGAGCCTCAAGAAAGAGCGCACCGAGCAAGCGTGCCACCTTTGTCCGACTTCACCGAATCCGCTGTGAATCAGTCGCCATCGAAACAATTGGAAGAGCCCAAATCTCAGATTTCCATTATAAACCCGAACTCGACAGTCTTGGAGAGGCCAATGGACATTGTGGCCAAGTCCAGAACGCAGGCCCCTCAAGCGCTAGAGGAGCCTGCTGCGCCTAAGCCCCGAATGATTATTGAGAACCTTATTCTGACAAACTTCAAGAGTTACGCCGGCCAGCAGATTGTTGGTCCATTCCACGCCTCATTTTCGTCTGTCGTTGGACCGAACGGCTCCGGGAAGTCCAACGTGATTGACTCGCTCCTATTCGTGTTTGGCTTCCGCGCCAGCAAGATGCGACAGGGCAAAATCTCCGCGCTGATCCATAACTCTGCTCAGTACCCCAATCTTGCCTTCTGTGAAGTCGAGGTTCATTTCTCACAAGTCCTCGATTTGCCCGATGGTGGCCAGGAAGTGGTCCCAGATTCCCAACTAATTGTATCGCGACGAGCGTTCAAGAATAACACCAGCAAATACTACATGAACAAAAAGGAGACCAATTTCACCGCTGTGACGGCCTTCCTCCGTGATCGTGGGATTGATCTTGATCACAAGCGATTTTTGATTTTGCAGGGTGAGGTTGAGTCGATCGCTCAAATGAAGCCAAAAGCCTCCAACGAACACGACGAAGGCCTCTTGGAATATTTGGAAGATATTATCGGAACCTCCAAGTACAAGACACCTATCGATGAAGCGGCAACCGAGCTGGAAGGTCTCAACGATGTATGCGTGGAAAAGAACAACCGTGTTCAGCACGTGGAGAAGGAGAAGGCGGCCTTGGTGGATAAGAAAGACAAAGCTCTGGCTTACATCCGTGAGGAGAACGAATTGGCACAGAAACAATCAGCCCTCTATCAGATCTACATTGATGAGTGCGCTGATAATGTTCGTGTTACTGAAGAAGCCATTCTCCAAATGCAGGAGCTGCTGAACATGGAACTCGAGAAACACGAGGGAAATGAATCCGGCATCAAAGAGCTCGAAAAAGCCTACAAAAAGGGGGTTCGCCATTATGAGTCGATAGAGAAGGAAACTCAAAGTTTGCTCAAGGAGATGGCCAAGTACGACAAGGAGTCTGTTAAGTTTGAGGAGAAGAAGAAATTCTTGCTCGGCAAACAAAAGAAGCTAGAGAAAGCCATGCAGACCAGCCGTCTTGCTGCTTCTGAATGCCAAAGCTTGGTCGAGAAGTTTACCTACGACATTGAGAAGAAGACCGCCGAAACGACTCAATTCGAGAAGGAGATGGTGACAGAAGAAAAGGAACTGAACTCGATTCGTGAGGGGCTCAAAGGCAAGACGCAAGGCCTATCTGATCAGATTGCCGAGAAGCAGAAGTCACTAGAGCCATGGAATGCGAAAATCAACGAGAAACAGTCCGCAGTGGCAGTTGCTCAGAGTGAGCTGGATATCTTGCGCGAGCGTGGTAATGCTGGTGCTGTCCTCCTCGAAGAGGCACAGGGCAAGGTTGTTACAATCGAAGAAAGTCTGCAAGCCAAGCAAAACGATCTCGAAGAGCGACAGGCCCAGAAAGAGACCTTGGAGTCTGAAGTAGAGAGACTCAAACATGACTTGAAGAAATACGCCGGCCGTGAGCCCGAGGTTCGTTCGCATGTCTCAAGCGCCCGCCAGAAAGCAGACGAGGCACGAGTCAGTCTTGCAAGCACACAAAACCGCGGAAGTGTCTTGACTGGGTTGATGCGTCTCAAGGAGTCTGGCCGGATCGATGGTTTCCATGGCCGACTTGGTAACCTGGGAACAATTGACGAGAAGTATGATGTCGCCATTTCTACAGCTTGTCCTGCTCTCGACAACATGGTGGTGGAAACCGTCGAAGTCGGCCAACAATGCATCGACTATTTGCGCAAGAACAACCTTGGACGAGCGAACTTCATTCTTCTTGACCGCCTCCCCCGTCGTGATATGACATCAATCTACACACCTGAAAGCGTTCCTCGTCTCTTTGATCTCGTCAAGCCGAAGGATCCCATGTTTGCCCCAGCTTTCTACAGCGTGATGCAAAACACATTGGTTGCGAAGGACTTGGAGCAAGCGAATCGAATTGCCTATGGTGCTCGTCGTTGGCGAGTGGTGACGGAAGATGGCCAGTTGATCGATGTGTCAGGAACAATGAGCGGTGGTGGCACCCGTGTCGCCCGAGGCGGTATGTCCTCAAAGCAAGTCGCAGACACCACAAAGGAGCAGGTGTCTCGCTTGGAGTCAGACCTCGAGGATCTGGAAAGGAAATTCCAGGCTTTCCAGGAGAAGCAGCGTCATGTGGAGGCTCAGATGAAGGAAAGATCAGAGGAAATCCCACGCTTGGAGACTAAGATCCAAAAGATTATGATCGAGATCGACAGCACCAAGCGCAGTCTTGCTGACGCCCAGCGACGCGTAAAGGAGCTGGGCGCACAGCACCAGCCCTCTGATTCGGACGAAGGCCAAATTGCTGCTCTCGAGAAACAGATAGCAAAAGCCCAAAAGGAGATCGCTAAACTTAACGACGAGAAGAGCGGCATCGAGGAAGAGATCCAGACTTTGCAGAGCACGATCATGGAGGTCGGTGGTGTTCGCCTTCGCGGCCAAAAGGCGAAGGTGGATGGCTTGAAAGAGCAGATTGGCATGCTTGCCGAGGAGATTTCAAACGCGGAGGGGCAGCAGTCCAAGAACGAAAAACTCATCAAGAAGCACACCAAAGCCCGCGATGTTTCAGAGAAGGAGATTGCTCAGATCACCGACGAGTTGGAGACACTAGAAGAAGATGTTGCCAACCAGACCAATGAATCTGCCGACTGGAGACAGAAGGCTGACGAAGCCCAGGAGGTAACTTTTCCAAGATCCTCGAGTATACTGAATTTACATGCTGACCATCCTTAGGCTTTGGAATCTAAGAAGGGCGAGCTGAAGGCCATGAAGGATGAGCTTGACGCAAAGGTGGCCGAGCTCAATGAGACGAGAGCTGCTGAGATCGAGATGCGCAATAAACTGGAAGAGAACCAGAAGGCCTTGGCCGAGAACCAAAAGCGCAGTCGTTACTGGGAGGAGAAGCTTTCAAAGCTGACTGTCCAGAACATCAGCGATATCGGCGAAGAGCAAGAGCCTACAGAGCTTCAGATGTACACCAAGGATGAGCTAGAGGCTATGAATAAAGATTCTCTAAAAGCCGTCATTGCTGCTTTGGAGGAGAAGGTTCAAAATGCCTCTATCGATTTGTCAGTTATTGAGGAGTACCGTCGTCGAGTCGCCGAGCACGAGTCGCGCTCGGCGGATCTAACCACCGCTTTGACGTCACGAGACGGTGCCAAGGCACGCCTGGACGGCCTTCGATCCTCTCGCTTGAATGGGTTCATGGAAGGATTTGGTATTATCTCCTTGCGCCTCAAAGAAATGTACCAGATGATCACCATGGGCGGTAACGCCGAGTTGGAGCTCGTTGACTCGTTGGACCCCTTCTCGGAGGGAATCTTGTTCTCGGTCATGCCTCCCAAGAAGAGCTGGAAGAACATTGGTAACCTGTCTGGTGGAGAGAAGACTCTATCCAGTTTGGCGCTGGTCTTCGCTCTTCACCACTACAAGCCTACGCCGCTCTATGTCATGGACGAGATTGATGCCGCCTTGGATTTCCGAAACGTAAGTTGGTCTTATATGACTTGACGGACACGTGTGCTAACTTCCTTTTTTAAGGTTTCCATTGTCGCCTCGTACATCAAGGAGCGAACAAAGAATGCCCAATTCATTGTCATTTCGTTGAGAAACAATATGGTAAGTGCCGTTGATTTTCGCTTCCAAGTTGACATAGCTAACATGTTCTCTAGTTCGAGCTTGCTGCCCGACTTGTGGGTGTCTATAAGGTCAACCACATGACCAAGAGTGTGACGATCGAGAACCGGGATTATATTACGCGATAATGACTGAAAATGATCGTGTTGTGGTTCTTGACTTTCAGGCTCTTACCTGAATGAGTAGGGTTGTATGCTGCTGTTTTCAATGATATCATGGGTCGGGGAGTTTTGGACATCTTTCATTCAATCATGCTCGTGCACTTTAGGAATGAGAACTTGAGTCATGTTTACATATAACTATATTTCCCTTCTTTATTGGTGTTATATCACTGGATTGGTAATCACATAAACCAAACAACCTACTTATACCTACCTCCGGTGCATTCAATACAAGTCGCCGTGATATAGGATGACACCAGACTAGCCATAACATTGGCCGCATTTTATCCGAGAAATTGTCATGGTAAATCCCTACCTAACAAGCTGAGATAGCACAATATGTAGACCAAGGGGCGAGGTTTTGGAACTCAGGTTTCAGCTATGCATAAAAGGAGCACGGCCTATGTAAGGCTTAGTTTATAGCCGAAAGCCGAACTACAAGGCAGGCCTTTTGCCTTCTTTTTGTTTGTCCGCATAGATCGTCATCCAAGTTCCCCCCTACTTGCTTAGTGCTGCCAATCTTGGGACTTCCATGTCCAAACAAGCTCTAGAATCCCCTAGCAAGTCGTCAAACATAGCATTTCCACAGACCCTTGTCGATCAATCTTATATTTACAAATACAACCACAACCACAATATCTTCTCTATTATGTAAACCCTTGCTAACAACTCATTTAGATGCACAATTTCAAAGGATGTCACTTACGAAGTACGGAATCCCCGGAAACAGCGACGCTGTCACCATTTATGGTAATTTATCGGGACCCATTCCACCGTTACGCATGCTGTGTAAGTTCTTATTATCGTCGTCGTGGTTTCGGGATCCCAACATGACAAGCAATGGAAATAAGACATTGCGCATCTCCACGACTGGCTTGGAGAGCGGGTACTATGTGTAGAGTGTTAAAATAATTTGGTCTTTTAGATTTATTAGAGAAGACTGGATAATGTTTCACGCTTGAGTCTGTTCAAGCTGAACCCCAAACTTATTACCTGCGATCACCACATCCAAACATACTACTACAAAGGTAAACTCATTTAGTCTCTCGGGCGTCTTCTGGGCATTTATCCACCACATGGCCCGAGTCGCCCGTTGCATCTATGCCTCGCCGATCATGTTAACAAGACTTTTCATGTTTGTGACATGCGGCAAATGCATGTAGGTTTTCTGCAAGCTTGGTATGTACTCCGCATAGTCGGCACAATATCCTCAATTAATAGAATCCAACTTGGAATTACGAGGACAATGAAAGTAAGCAGCCAATAATGACACTAGACAAGGGTTATTTGAACTAAATTCCAAGTTTGTGCTGTGCGAAAGGGTAGATCGCTGCTCTCTCAGGCCGCCTCAGGTCGCCAAGATTGGCGTCCCTTTGACGTCAGAAGCGGGATGAGAGGAGGTTGGAGTGCGCAATCGAGAGGGGAATTGTGAGACTGGATTCTGGTTTTTGATATAATAAGACCTGACGCTTTCCATCTTTTGTCATCTGTTGTGTGGGTGAATTTGTCTCGATTATCTATCTATACCAACACTTCTTTTTGGGTGTTGGGGTTCAAGATCGCATCGAGACCCACTGTTACATTCTGCATAGAGACTGAGAAAATCAATTCCCCGATATCAGATCAAAAGCATTGACACCCTGCAATTATGGTAAGTGTATTTATTTCCTTGGATGCTGCTGAAGCTATCTTCCGTGGCTCACCGAGAAACACCCACGCGGGCCGCACAAAGAACCACGGATCGCATACCGCATACTCTACCTTGAACTCATAAAAGCTAATACTTCCACTTCCCCAGGCTCCTATAAATTCCATCCTCGAGCCCCGGCAGTCAAGCGGCGCTAACTGCCCAAGCACAATCAGCGGCGGGGGAATTGCAGGTATCGTCATCGGCTCGATCGCAGGGACCCTCCTCATCCTCTGGCTGTGGCGGATATGCCGACTTCCCGGAGCGTTGAGCGGCGATACATCTGAAGTCGGCTACCGGCCTCCAATTACTCGCAGCAGCACGAGTAGCCGTGGACGGCGACAGCGTCGTCGTCCATCCGGGACGTACATCGATTATGTCGAGAAGCCGACCAGTGTACGCAGCGCGCGCCGATATAGGGATCGCGATGATTTGCGTCGGCCGGCTAAGGTTTATATGACAGAGCCGTGAATCATGGTGGGGATTATATATAAGACATGTAAAATGACTGGAGTGGGTTGATGGGTCTTTTGGGCCATTGGTCTCGGACATATCAATTGGCACAGGCGTTTGCTATTTTTGGGTTCATAATTTCTCGAGGAAATGGGTGTGAGCTAGGGGTGGATATGTTTTTGACGGAGCCAAGTAATTATGAGACATGACACACAAATGACAGCGAGCTTTTATGATTTGATGAGAAATAATTCTTGAAAATGAATTACCTGGTCTGTGCGTGTGATGCTTCCTTGTTTTGAACTGAGAACCAGATCCGGACGCCACCGCCCCCTGAGTTTGGATCACACCGCATGGTTAAGAACAATCTGGTTGAGCCCTTGACATGCACACTGCACATGTGGCTGGATATCTATATAATCCAGTTGGACAACTTGCTGACGGGTACCTGAGTGGCGAGGGACTGCATTCCTTGGCCTAGTCCAGCAGGACTTGGCTGTGTGTCACCACCGGGTACTCCGTACGGAGCAGTGGCGTTCGATCGATCAGAATCAGAATTACCGAAGTCACCCCATAATAGAACTCCGAGCCGGAAAGTCGAGTCCACCCAAGGGCGATCGCACGAGAACGCCGCACCCGTTATTTCGTTTGTTTTTGACGAATAAGAGGGCAGAGAAGTATGGTTTATTAAGCTAACATCGTTCGCTAAATGGGAAAGCGCATTGATGAGTGGGCGTGCAGGCAGGTAAGACAGGGGAAATGGCCCACAGGGGGAAGAAGAGAAAGAGAAAAAAGAGAAAAAAGAAGAAAAACTTGGGTTTGACATCTCCACTCATTGACTTGGGGGGGGGTGGACTTGGCATCTTGGTGGCTTTGTTCTTTAGAACCCCTGAGCGGAGTGTCCCCAAAGAATTTACAAAGTAGCTTGGTAGGGTTCAAGGAACTGGAGGAACTCGTTATGGTTGCCTGGTTATAATTTTGAAATTGTTGTGTTTAAGGGGTACATGCATGATGGTCTAGACGGAGTGGAATCTTGGAGTTATTACCCCGTGGCTCTGATCTTCATTGCAGACGTGCTTCTCCCTCGAATGGTCTCTAGATATGCACTAAACAACCAGTCTTATCCTGGATTTGAGTCAAGGGATGTCTTTAGATAAGATGAAGAATAAAATATAGTATTGGGTCTCAGATATGAAACTGTTGTTCAGTGTGGAGGAGTATATGTTGTACTCCGTATGTTGTACCTGGCAAGCTGTTCGATCCTTATCAGAGTTCTTGGCGATCATCCAATCGGTGGGTAAGTGGTAACCAATCAGAACCACCCACCTAAAAGTAGTTTTAGCAGAAAAAAAACTGGGCGAACCCAAAGGGGCTAAGCCTTGCGCACAAGGCCCCTGGGGGATGGCTCAATTGGGTTAGTGACCTGCACCAAAACGGAACCCTCTAACCCAGATTGGCTAGCAAATTCGACCATAATTTCTGCAGGTTTCCCCTTACGCTCTCGATGGAGTACAACGGTGCACAGAAAAATAATGAGGGCCCAAAACACCACTAGCCCATAATGCAAGTCCACTCTGCGCCTAAATTGGACCTTCGTGGCTGATTTCCCCCCGTTTTCTTGATGTTTCCTTCTTCAACACACTCTTAGGATATTGCTGCTGGCAGACTGCCTTCCACTCATTACCGTGCTCTCGCACATCCACTCTTTATTGAATCTCGAGTAGTCTCGAGTCCATTCTTTTATTTTTAGACGGGTTCAACAGCAGCACCTTGAGCAATCGTTCATACAGATCAGCGTGCCATGTTTTTCTCTCGCATTGCCGCTCTGGCAGCTTTGGCTAGCTACGCCACGGCTCAAACCTCGACCGACTGTGACCCAACTGAGAAGTCATGCCCTCCGGATCCAGCCCTTGGCACCGAACACACATGGAACTTCAACACGACCTTGGACGAGAAGATCTGGAAGATGGCCACCGGAACCTACGAATACGATGACGATGGAGCCAAGTTTACCCTCTCTAAGGAGGGAGAGTCCACTCTTCTACAGTCCAACTTTTATATCTTCTTCGGTGTCGTCGAAGCTCATGTCAAGATGGCCAAGGGCGCAGGCCTGGTCAGCAGTGTGGTCTTGGAGTCCGACGATCTGGATGAGATCGATTGGGAGTGGGTGGGATACAACACTAGTGAAGTGCAGTCCAACTTCTTTGGCAAGGGTAACGATACCACCTTCGATCGCGGCGGAAAGCACCATGTCACGAACGCAGACACCGAGTTTCACAACTACACCACGTACTGGGACCAGGATAAACTGGAGTGGTGGATTGACGGCGAGATGGTTCGCGAACTGAAGTACTCCGAGGAGTCAACCTTGTTCGGCGAAAACTACCCTCAGACCCCCTGCCGTGTCCAATTCAGTCTCTGGCCTGCTGGTCAGAAAAAGGCGGCACAGGGTACTATCGACTGGGCTGGTGGCCTTGTCGACTGGGATACTGCCCCCTTTAGTATGACCCTTGGCAAGCTTCGCGTTGAGGATTTCCACTCTGGCAAGGAGTACAGCTACGGAGACCACTCGGGTTCCTGGCAGAGCATCAAAGTGGAGGAGTAAGTGCGCCCAGATTATATTCACCCAGGATATCACTGATGCGACGTAACAGTGGAAACTCGACTGTACTGGATGAACTAAACAAGCCACCGGAGAAGTCCCTGTCAGAGAAATGGGATGATCTCGGTGAGGGAGCCCACATTGGAGTCTACGTTGGTGCCGCTGCCGCTGGTGCTCTTTGTATCGGAGCCTTCCTATTCTTCTGCCTACGCCAGCGCCGCAAGGGCCGTCTCGAGAACGCGTTGGGTAACAACCCGGTTCCTCTTAACCGTGATGAGATGCAGACCTTCCAGAAGGACTGGAGGCAGAGTGAGTGGAAGCAGAATGGTGGTTACCAGCAGGTTAGCAACTAGCCGACTTGTCAAGTACAGACACTAGTAACCCCACGGACTTGCTTTTGGACCTCTATAATGAACAGTTCTGTGATTCTTTTTGCTTTCGTTTCGCGCCGTGACCGGTATTACAGATTGCTGCCATGACGACGTCAATTTTGTGCATCTGTGATGGCCGACGGAGTCGGAATAATGTGCCTTTTCCTTTCGTCCCGGCTTACCGGATTACAGTCCTTTTTTCTACGGTGCTATCTTGCCTCTGTCTCATATATATACAGAGCCACTCGCTCCGATCGCCCGTTCTGTTGATATCCCTTTTTTTTGATCCTCGGATCACAATTCCCTTCGTTGGCGTTGTTCAGGTCGCCTTTTGCTTGGTTTGCAATCTGCCTCTCAACACATCCATGTAAATATATTGCCCTATGAAACAGGGTCTCTTTCAATCCTTTTTACTTCCTTCTTGACCTTAGTGGGACATTTTCCGACCAGCATCTACCTAGGGTGCATCTTACCCCCCAACCCCCCGCGACAACCCATCCGATATTTGAAGGGCTGTTTAGAACTTTAGAACTTTTGTGGTTTTGTTGAAGCCACTCAATGACAGCTCAACTCGTAACCATGGCATGCAGCCCATATCACAAATAGTTGTATGCATCGCACGTGTCTAATGCGCCTCGGGGGATATGGGCGATGAAGTGTGCCACGCGGGAGTTGGGTCGGATAGATCAGGAAAAAACAAAACCAAAAATAAAATAAAACAGCCTTATGCTAGATAATATTTTGGGTACATTCTCAAGGAAAGTCAGTTGTATAAATCAACCCCAAAGCGTGGACTTAGCAATCGGAGTCGGCGTGTCTATGGACCGGTAGTTAAAAGTCCGTAGTATTGCTCAATAGGGATAATCCTGCGAGGTGGATCTGAGGCTGTGGATATATAGTGGATTTTCATTTGTGCCGAGGTCCTTTTATAGGATGGTACTCCTACCATATCGGCGGGATTCGTGTCAAATCCGACAGTAGAAATAAAAATTGTGGCTGAGAAGATCTCGGCATGGCCGATACACGACGATCGTGATTGGACTTGGATTTGATATTTTGTAGTGGAACCGAGTATGTCAACACAGCCCTGTAGATGAAACAAATGAAGTTATGAAATTTGTGCAGTTACCTATAACCAAGATAACTAAGTAGCTGTTATGAGCCGAGGCTTGTTAGTCGGTGAGGTCACCGTTTTCTTTAAATATAATATAAATCTAACTCCCCCTTCTTCATGCCTTTAATATTCCAACTTTAGTCTCATTCTACCTGCAACTCCCAAGGTACATTTGGATATCATATACAACACACACCTGGGCAGTCGTTAACTAGGATTACGACGCCACTAGGTTTAGTGGGACAAATCCTTGTAACCCCGCCTTCCAACGTTTATCCTACATTTTTGAGCATCCCACCTTGTGATTCACACAAATTCAACAATTATCCAAATTGATCCAACTTCTCAAGTGTAAGGCGGAAATCATACGCCATGGCCTCGACCAAGCAGGTCCCAATTCCGGGCCCCAAGGGCGTCCCATTCTTGGGAAACATCTACGACATCGAGCCAGAGGTGCCTGTGAACAGCTTCGAGCGGATGGCCGATAGCTATGGTATGGATCTAGACCTGCATGACCGGGAATGGGTATTGCGAACAAAAAGACTAATTTCTGTGTTCATAACCTTTCAGGCCCGATCTTTCGATTGACTACCTTTGGCAGACCACGAGTCTTTATCAGCTCCCACGAGCTGGTAGACGAAGTCTGCAATGAGGAGCGCTTCGGCAAAATGGTCTCCGCTGGTTTGGCTGAGATCCGCAATGGTGTTCACGACGGTCTCTTCACCGCGAACTACCCCGGCGAAGAGAACTGGGCTATTGCGCATCGCGTTCTTGTTCCTGCGTTCGGTCCGCTCATGATTCGCGGCATGTTTGATGGTAGGTGTCCCTTTCCGGTCGGGTTTGAGACCTATGCGCCATCGAATTAGACGAACGGTTTTGGCTAATGTCTGGAATTAGAAATGTATGATATTGCTACTCAACTGGTTATGAA